CCCCAAAACCCCAAAACCCCAAAACCCCAAAACCCCAATATTTTATGAAATATTTTCATTGTGATTTAAACTAAATGAAGTTTTCTTGAAGATGTTTGGCCTTTAATGGCAGATTTAGATCTTCTAAGCTCCTCATTGTATCGATTTGGCTTTTGATTGAGCCTAGATTTTAGAATAAGGTCTTTCTTTTTGCCTGCTTTATTCTTGTTTATCTTGTAATACTCCTTCCTTTCTTCCTCCTCTTTTATAGTGTTACCATCAAAAGATTTGAAGCCTCCTTCACTTAGTGGGAATGCATCATTACGTGAAATATCTCTTGAAGTAATATAGCCATTCTTTGATTTTAGAATGGGAAAATGTGATGGATTTATTTTTGACTGGGAAGACTGAGCAGTCGTTGCTCTAGCATAAGTCACTGGAGACATCGGAATATTCATTTGAGATAGCTTTTTATATTCTGAAAATTTATCAACAACTCCTTTGAATCCAGTACTCGACTTCGCCTGAACCTGATCATGCATAAGAATCTTTGTATCAAGATTGATCTTGGAAATAGTATTCTTTAAACAGTTTTTCGAGATATGCTCGATTCTCAAATTATCTATAACTTCAATAAGGTTAGCTTTGGACTTGTCAAACTCTCAAAAGACATCTCTTGATTGCTTCTGAATGTGCTTTAACTCATTAAGAATATTCTCTGACTCTCTTTGGTTTTTCTCAAGTGCTTGTCTTACTGGATCACTAAGACTATCTATATCTTGAGTAAAGGCTTGGGTTTGAGTATGGTATTCATCTCTAAAATCTTTGATTTTCTTATCAAACTCTTTCATAGCTTTCTCTAAATTATGCTCAATATTTTTGATGGATATCTCATTTTCGGCTATTTTATCAAACTTGGTCTTCTGCATTTGGAGCAGAGAGATCTGATGCTGATTCTCTTTAGTAGTAGTTTCCAAGTTTACTAACCTCTTTATAGCATCCTTCCTTGTTTCTGTTGTTTTTGCTTGTAAATTACTATGCTTTGAAGCCAATTCTTGATATTGCTTCTGACAATTTGAAATTATGTGACAAGACTCTTTGTGATCAGCATCTAGTTGCTCTTTGAAGCTACTTATTTGATCGATCAACTCATTGGCTTTGTCTACTGTGGTGACTCAGTTCTTGACTTTATAAGTCAATTCATCATTGTCTTTACGAATAAGCTCAATCTCTTCTCTTTGGATCAGTATTTCTTTTCTCATATTTTCAAATCGGTTATCGTCATATAAGATCTTCTTAATTGCCTCAATAAGTAAAACTTGCTGGTATTTTAGGTGCTTCTTGGTTGAATCTTGCTGAATTTTCTCTAAATAATCCTGAAACAAGGATCGCAGTGAAGAGTTCTCTTCCACACTAATAGCTGAAGGAGTCTCCTTTTGATGATTCGGTGTAGTATCTTGATCATTATTATATTCATGATCCTCTCCCTCAATTGTACTGACAACTGATTTGATTTGCTTGAGTTCTTCTTGGATGGCTTTAATATCTTCTTCATCTGCCTTATTGTTCTTCACAACTTGGAGTTCAGCATCGTTAGCTTTTGTATTAACTAGGAGATCTATCTCTTGAATTTTGGCAACTAGCATCCTTCTAAGGCTGGTCATTTTCTCATTTTCTAGAGTAGCTATTTTCTTGTCAAAGCTAGATCTCATGTCATTTATGATATTGGGTAAAGCTTTAGTGTGTACAATATACTCTTGCTTGTCGACTTTTGTGTGGATTAATTCGCTGACCTGGTTTTGGAACAGCTTCAGTCTCTGTAAGATACTTCCTTCAATTTCAACCTTAAAGCCATTGAATTGGGTTTCAATAGAACTTCTTGATAGATAATCCTGCATCTGGACTTTGTGTTTTAAGATCTCAGCCGATTGCTTCTGCTGCTCTAGATACATTTTATGAATAATAGGAATAGCATCTTCAATCTTATGTATATTATCAATAACTCTATTCAACTTCAGTTTCTCTTCCAAGAATTTCTCAGAAGGGTTTCCTAAATAGCTTTCTTCCATATATTTATTTTTCTGTTTCTATATTTAAATTTTTTAATGGGGTTTTGGGGTTTTGGGGTTTTGGGGTTTTGGGGTTTTGGGG